TCCTCACAGAGCAGAGCCTTCTGTTAGTGTTCCAAGTACCTTATCGATGTTATGATCTTTATCATTGTATTTCTAGCTTTTTCTTGTGCGTGATCATTCGTGATCATCTCTAATTGATGAGCTTTTCGGAAGCTGCTCGATGCATATTTATTTTTTCACGAGGTTTGAAAGCCTCACGGGCTCTTTTCCATGTTGAAAATCCACTGGCGACAAATGTAGCTTCTCTATGACAATCCTTTACATGTATTATTTTATCTTGAATGGTCTTGGCAGAGTGCTTTATTTAAGTTGGTGTCACAGTGAGGCCAAGGGAAATCTGAGAACTTCCCCCTGTGTCGCCTCTCTTGATAAAAACTAAGATAAGCGGGTTGATGTGACTGATCTGTCATAGGTAATGGTTCTATGGGTGTTTTTAACGAAGGAGTGTTTGTCTCTCCCATATAAGACATATCTAATAAAAGATCATTAGAACTGTCACTACGAGCGTAACTAGCTGAAGATGTGGAAGATGAGGCCAAGAAGGTTTCCATTTCAGAAGAGACTCCCGGACGATGTCTATTCTAGTCCTTGCTCTTCTTGATAAAATCAGAAATCTATTCCACCGTCCCTCTAGTCATGTTTACATACGTCATTGAGTCCATGTAAAACATAGTTATCTGCCCTTGTGGGTGACGTATAACGTCAATCATCAACATCCGACAACCTAGATTCTATGATCCAGATCCACTTCACTGTGCACTTCAGCAACGAAAGATTGAGTGTTAGTGACTAATTCAGCTCTTGTAACAGTATTTGAACGCTAAGTTATGCAGTTTGATAATCATAGAAGCCACAAAAAAGTGGTGGGGACAGGTCCCTGTGTCTCCACCGCGATCTGCGCCCATGCCAACCTTCCACTACTTAAGACATGTTTCTACAATAGGATGATAGTTTTAGCCCGCCAACAACACTGTTTACAATACTGAAAGATTACCTGGTGTACTGAAGATATTTAACTTCATTAAATCGAAGTCTTCGAATGCAAGAGAACATTAGGTTAAGTTCCCACTAACCTAGATGAGTGAGTCTTAAAAATGAAGGATTTCCAATACAAAGTTTATTAAAAGAATGTGTACTCTCCAATTTATATCGTCTGCTAATTTAGGTTTATAATAAATACACTCCTGTAGAAATACTTTCATATTTCACTAAGTATCGGAAAATATAGAAATATAGAAAAAATTCCAACGGTTTGATATTTTGCGAATTCACAGCTTTGAATGGAGGTATTTTTTTTTTTAAATTTTGCAAAAAAATAAAGAAATTTTTTGAGAGTTGAAAAATTACATACTGAGATTAATTTGTTCTCTGGCTCAAAATTTAAATCAAGAGATCTGTTATCAATGTTGTATAACACGCTTAACACCTGTCAATCAACTTCACACTAAGGATTATATTATTCAGAGATAAAACCAGAAAATTTAATTTTTTAAAAATATATCCAAATTTAATGATTTGAATTTTTACAGCAAACCACCCATGAAATTGAAATTGAGTACATCCTAATTATGAAAACTACATTGATGTTAGAACTGGAGTTGGAAAAATTTCAATTTTTATTTTTTCAAAATATTTTAATGCACACGAGAGCTCCCAGCTGAGCAAAATTTCATTTGTGCCTCTCAGCTCAGCTCGTAGCTCTCGTGTGCGCGGTGTTTACGTAAGTTTTTTTTTCATTCGAGGCGTTATGGAAATTATCTGTTGATTGATAACTTTTTCCTCTAATGAAAAATACCTTATGCGCACTCGAAAGCTCTTAGCTTTCAACTTTGAACTGGGGCGCATGCGCTAGCACGTGATCAAATGTTGACCGACGGACCGACGGACAGGGGCGACGACAATATACGTATAAAAATGGCTGCGCCCATCGGTGAATGTGAGTTTGTATCTGAAGAAATTATCGAAGAGAAGTTGGTGGACGTATGGCCGGAATATCCGTGCCTGTACGACGTACGGATCCCCCAATTTAAAAACAGAGATAGCAGAGAGAAGGCAATTGAAGAAATTTCTTCATATTCTGAATCATTCGAAGGGTTGTCGACGTCCGACATTTTGTTTAAGTCACGTGAGAATGTCACGTGGTCTAATTATTTTTAGACGTCAATGACTCGACACCCCGTTTACGAAAGTTCTAAGCTTAGCGTGTGCGGGGGAAACCGACTTAAGCTTCGAGCTGAGCTGGGAGAAACGAATGAAATTTTGCTCAGCTGGGAGCTCTCGTGTGTCCTAGCCTTAACTATTACATGTTTACTCAATTTTTTGATTTTCAATAGGGTTCATCAATGGGCGATAATAGACAATTTCACTAAGTTTCATCATAATCCGTCAAGAATTGTGCCTTCTAGAGTGTTCGCAAGTTTAAAATTGAACGCGTGTTCAAAAACAAGGGCAATAACTCGTTAAATATAATTTTCGATTTATCTTATTTTCAATATGGTTCATCCTTGGTTGATTACAAACACTCGCACCAAGTTTCCTCAAAATCCGTCAATAATTGTGCCTTCTAGAGTGTTTACAGCAATTGTGGACGGACGGACCGATGGAAATAAGTGACGGCAATATACGCCCCCATTTCATGTGGGTCTATAAAAAAAGATAGCTTGTCAGGCTCACTTGCAGCTTTGAATAAAATACATGGCAGTACAGTAACAATCACCATTATAAAAGAAGTATATGACTGAAGATTGAATATTTCAAACTTTATTGGATAATACTGAATAATATTACCATGTTGTCAAAATTCGACATGAATCGAGACTTTAATTGTTTACAAGCTAAAAATTTCCAATAACAAGGGCAATTAATCATTAAATATATTTTTCAATTTTTGATCAGTGGAGTGACCCGGAATTGAAGAATGGAATACTCTTGGAGATTTTACTGAATATATTATTAATCATCATCAATAATACAACATACAGTTGTGCATAACTCAAAACTCATCAAGTTATACAAATTCTGGAAATATACAAAACAAATATCTTAGTCTTAGTATGAATTAGCGCAACATAATGAATGACTTCACATTTTGACTAATTAAATAATCCTAGGCCTAATCTAAGCAAATCTGAAACTAGTTGCATTTCTCTTATATTAACTGTTTGCACACTGACAAGACTGGATTAATCTTATAATATGGATATCATTAGTGAATATGATATACAAATAAAAGAATGTTCTAGCACGTGCTCGTATAAAACTTGCAATTCAATGACACCAAATAACAGGTTCAAATAATGCAAGAAACACAATGTCACACTACAATTATCATAATACAGTTTCAATAATATACCTGAAGAGTGGATCTCCTTAGCATTCATCACAAAAATAACTTTAAACTACATTAAAACTTCTTAATCTGTTCGTTGCTGTACTTCTGTTAATGGGGCTTACAAGAAAATGGAGGAGGGAAAAAGACAAGGGAGCAGTTATTAATAATAAACTTTTAGAGAGAGGCTTATTGTAATGTAATTACCCGTTAAACAAATATAATAAATTCTATTCAAATAAACCCTCGGGCCCCCACGAAATTGAGAGAACTAATTATCATCAGATGGCAAAATGAGACAATATTTCTGGACAGACCGTTTAAATTCTCCAGTTTTGGTTTTAACCTTAATATTGCGAATAATATCATCTGCTCCAGGATATACTTCTATCACTCTTGCCAAATCCCACTTTCCACGAGGGGAAGAAGAATCAACTAACAGGACGACATCATTTACAGCTATCTGTCTATTTTTTGTTTTCCATTTGGATCTCCTCATTAAAGTAGGCATATAGTCTAGAATAAATCTGTTCCAAAACTGCTGCACCAATCTTTGAACAAACTCAAATCTTTTCCTAAGATTTCTTGTTTCCTCAAAAGGACCTTGTGGAACATCTATACTGGACCGACCAATAATGAAATGATTTGGTGTAATGGGCTGAAGATCATTCGGATTATCCGGACGATATCCTATGGGACGGCTATTAATAAGACAGCTAATTTCAGCAAAAACAGTAGACATCTGATTCCAGTTGAGTATTTGTTGACAAATTGCAACACGTAAAGATCTTTTCACTTGCTTAATCAAACTTTCGTAAATTCCCCCTTGATGTGGACTCAGTGGCGTAGAAAATTTCCATTTCACTCGATGAAGAACTACATAATCTTCTATCTGCTTCTTGCCTTCTTCAAAAAATCTTCTAATTTCTCTTCCGGCACCAATAAAATTCTTTCCATTATCTGACAAAATTACAGACGGCCAACCATGATAAGCAACAAATCTACGTAAAGCTAACAAAAATGACTGAGTTGACAAATCATTAACAACTTCCAAGTGTATAGCTCTCACTGTGGCGCAAGTAAATATAGCACCCCATGCTTTAATTGTTTTGTTTCTTCCATATTTTAAATTAAAAGGACCGAACAGATCAACACCTGTGACAGAAAATGGTGGAGACATTGGCTGTAATCTCTCCAATGGCAAAACGGCCATTAAAGTTGAATGAGTTGGTTGACGCAATTTACGACAGACAACACAATTCCTAACAATTGCCTTAACAAGATTCCTACCTTTAAGAATCCAAAATTTCTTTCTACTTTCACCTAGTGTTCTTTCTGAACCTACATGACCTAGTTTCCAATGAGTATCTAGCATAATTAACCTAGAAATATGATGACTGCCTGGTAACAACACAGGATGATTCTGATCATTAGACAATGGAGAATGTCTCAATCTACCACCTACTCTTATAATATTATTATCCTTAAAGGGAGCTAAATCTTTATAACCTTCTTCCCAATTTGGTAAACTTGTAATTTGTACTGTAGATATCCAATAATTTTCAGCATCATCCAATTCTTGTGGCTGTAAACCTCCGATTCTATCTTCTGACTTGGACTTTAAATTATAAATGAACCTAAACAATAGGCTGTAACTCTCAACAACTTATTAAAATTCGAAAACTTAGATGAATCAATAACAGGTTGAACTTCAATAACACTAGACACTTGCTTGACCTTCTTCTTCTCAGTATCATCTGTAATAGGTTCTATCTCTTCCTGCGGCCATTGTTCTTTAGGGAGATGAAGAAAACTTGGACCATTTATCCATCGACTTTTCATTTTACTGACAGAAATACCTTTACTTAAATCATCAGCGACATTCATATCTGTAGGAACATAATGGAAACATGACGAATCCCACAAAGGCTGTATCTCAGACACTCTAACACCTACAAATGCCTTAAGAGGAACTGACTCAGAACGAATCCAATTTAAAACTATCTTAGAATCAGACCAAATATAAACTTTCCCTGGTTTTAATTTAAATTCTTCTATAATAGTAGTTCCCAATCGTGCACCAATTAACATAGCCATCAGCTCCAATCTTGGTATGGTGCTTTGACGGAGAGGCGCAACTCGGGCCTTTGCAGCTACCAATCTAATTTCTTCGCCGTTTGCTGTTGACCAAACAATATATGCTGCTGCACCATAAGCTGTGATACTGGCATCAGTAAAAATATGTAATTCTGCTAAACCTTTCACATTCTGTGGCTTTAAACATCTTGGGAATTGTATAGTCTTCAAATTCTCTATTTCTCTAAAATGAGACTTCCATAAATTAACCATGGGCTCTGGAAGAGTATCATCCCAATCATACTGTTTAGATCTCCAAATATCTTGCATAGATACTCTCATTTTAATGGTAACAGCTGATGCTAGACCAAGAGGATTGTAAAGCATTGACATCTTTGACAGGACATTCCTCTTTGTGAATGTATCAAGATGAAGACCTTTGACTTCAAAATAAATTGTATCTGTATAAGGATTCCAACATATACCTAATGTTTTGACACCTTCTTCTCCATCAAGGTTTATTCCCATTTCAGGTAGTTGTTGATGACTTGGAACTTCAACATCACTATTAAATTCTCTCTCAGAATAACCACTGGTATGCTTTTGACGCACTAACTTAGATGATGAATACCATTCCTTGATTCCTGAGGCTAATATCTCATCTAACTCCTTTATTCTGTTTGGGGCTTCTTCTGGTGATGAGCAAGAATGGATCAAATCATCCATATATCTGTCCCTTTCTAAGACTTGTGCTGCTAAAGGATATTCTTCGTTATATATATCTGCCATATGTAACATAAAGTAACTGGCCATATCTGGTGAAGACTTATCTCCAAATGTAACTCTGACAAGGCGATAAATAACTGGTTCTTCGCTAACCTCTAAATTACGCCATAAAAACCTGTGAACAAAGGTATCAGCTTCGGGCAAACTAATCTGCAAAAACATCTTTGAGATATCTCCAATAATGGCTACTTCTTCTTCCCTAAATCTTATCAAAACACCTAACAAATTTCCTATTAAACAAGGGCCTTTATATAAGAAATTATTTAACGAAACTCCTCCATAAGGACTTGCTGGATCAAATACTACTCGAAGTGGGGTACTTGGTTTGTCGGCTCTATAAACTCCATGATGTGGAAGATAATATACTGGTTTAATATCTGAACATAGCTCTTCTTCTGACAATCTAATTGCCCAACCATTGGCTTCATAATCAGAAATAACTTCGTTATACATTTTAGCTTTTACAGGGTTTCTCTGTAAACTTCTTTCCAAGGAAATCAAATGCTTTTCTGCTAAATTGTAGTTATTTGGTAAAAGGTCTGGATTTTTCTTCCAAGGCAAAGCTATAACATATCTACCATTTTCTTTATGACAGGAAGACTGTAACAAATCTAATGCTCTCTGATCTGCAGGTGAGATTATCTTCAATGGACAAGAACAGCTGGGAGCCTGAACACCTATTGTCTCAAACTCATAAAACTTATCCAAACTTACTTTATCAACAAAACTTACAGAACTAACTGAAGATTCCTTAAATTTATCAGATCCCATCACATCACATACCATCCTAACAATGACCTTTTAGCTATTGGTTCAAAGGGTGATCCTGTGCGATATTCTAAATCCACAAATAAATGACTGTACTGAACCCCTAAAATCAGATCAACTGGGCCAGCTTTATGAGGAAACTCTATATCTGACAAATGACTAAAACCTCTTAACCAAGACCTATCAAGTGGTTCTACATTAACAATTGTCTCTTCAATCTCATGAGCCTCAATCTGGTAATCTGCACCTCCATTCAAATTAGAAATCCAGAAATCTAATCTACGACTGCTCGAAACTTGAAATCTATCACCTCCAACAACTGAAAGATCTAAAGGCTAAAGGCATTAATCTTTTAATCTAACCAAGTAAATTTAATTGCCATTATTTATGTTTTTCTTCCATGTAAATTATACTCCGAAATAATCCATCCATTTAAATTACTACTCGGGTATAATCAAAATTCAACGTTAGTTCTAATCAATTTACAATTCACTAATCCCGCTTATTTTATCAAATATTTCTCATGTTTATTTATTTTATATTTTTGTATTCTTGATTTCTGATTATTTATGATTTTCATTTATGTAAATTGTACTCTGAGATAATCTAATCCTCCTGAATTATTACTCAGATATAATCAAAATCTAATCCAATATTTCTATAATCCTCAATTGATCAAAGATATGACTCAACTAATTAAGAAATCAAAAATAATCCTAATCCTCAACTGATCAAAGATATGACATGATTCACTCAATAATTTTTAGAAAATCAAAAACCTGTATTAACTGACTACTATATAAATCGCAAATTAAATCTCATTTCATAACCATTCCTCGACACTTGAAAAAGGATAATATTTCGAAAACCGGTTCGTGTCAATTGCGTAAGTTTTTGTTTTACTTGTTATAATTTTTCACATCATTGTTAGCGTTATTTATCACCTAAATATATATTTTTTTTGCATTTTTCATCTTGCTTTATATATCCCCAAACCCAGTTTGACTTATTTGCATAATTTGATCCCAACATTTTCACGCTAGCATATAC